TGCATAATTTTGTCCATATTTTTAAAAAGGTCAATGGGAAATTATGTTCATTTCTCCGAAGAAACTAGAAAAATACATAAAAAGGTGTAAAATATTGAACTAAAATGTTGGCGGGAAAAATTAACATGGTATTTAAAAGGTTAAGTTCTGTGGTTCATTTCAACAAGTTGCAGTGTGCTTGGAACATATTGATCTTATTTATTAATAATCATGTGTAAAGTGGAAATGATGAGGTTGCCATTGACAACCCAGACTTTCATCTGATGGTGTTCTGTTATGTGAGAAAATAAAGATTTAAAATTTGTCTACTTTTGTCAATATACAAGGAAAGCGATACATTTATTGCAAAGCCATTGAAATTAGTTTTTAAGGTGTTGTCTTGAAGAATTTGTGCCGGTGCCAGTGCAACTTTCTCACAACAGTAAATATAAGATTAATTATGCGATTCATTTTTGAATGTTTATAGTTCAATCATGATAAACCTGATCTATTCACTGAATCTCAGGAACTATGTAGTAATTATAGCAATAATAAACTCTACTGTACACTTACGGTTGTAATTAATTGTTGCAACTTGCATGTACATGCTTACAATCTGCATACAGACACAAGTGTGACTGCTTACAATCTCCATACAGACACAAGTGTCAGTGCTTACAATCTCCATACAGACACAAGTGTGAGTGCTTACAATCTCCATACAGACACAAGTGTGACTGCTTTCAATCTCCATACAAATGCACAAGTGTGACTGCTTTCAATCTCCATACAAGTACACAAGTGTGACTGCTTTCAATCTCCATACAAATACACAAGTGTGAGTGCTTACAATCTCCATACAGACACAAGTGTGACTGCTTTCAATCTCCATACAAATGCACAAGTGTGACTGCTTTCAATCTCCATACAAGTACACAAGTGTGACTGCTTTCAATCTCCATACAAATACACAAGTGTGACTGCTTACAATCTCCATACAAATACACAAGTGTGACTGCTTACAATCTCCATACAGACACAAGTGTGACTGCTTACAATCTCCATACAGACACAAGTGTGAGTGCTTACAATCTCCATACAAGTACACAAGTGTGACTGTTTTCAATCTCCATACAAATACACAAGTGTGACTGCTTACAATCTCCATACAAATACACAAGTGTGACTGCTTACAATCTCCATACAAGTACACAAGTGTGACTGCTTACAATCTCCATACAAGTACACAAGTGTGACTGCTTACAATCTCCATACAAATGCACAAGTGTGAGTGCTTA